GACATAATCTTGTAGTACGTTGATAAAATAATTTTCTTTTCTTATTCTGATATGGTTATTTATTTTTTAATCTTTATATTTAAAATATATATTTTTTATTCTTCTTTAGAATGTGTTCAATTTAATGCAAATTGAAATAAAATATATATGTCAATTATTGCAAAAAAAGTATGAATATTAATAAAAAAAGCAATTTATTAATTACTGATTTGATGAAAAAATTATACAAACAGAATTATTAGGTGTACAACTTTGCTTCCGCCGTTTTTTCCGAAATTCGAGGCTTTATTGTAAAAAACTGGTTATACATTTATGATTCAAAGTATTGTCCATCGCTGGCCACTACTTTCTCCCATCTTTCGGGCAGCGTACGAATCCCGTGTCGAAAAAACTGGTCATCTTTTGAGACGATCCACGAATCGATCCAATTTTTTACTTCTTCATAAGACCGGAAGTGCTGGTCAGCCAGGCCATGTGCCATTGATCGAAACAAGTGATAGTCAGAGGGAGCAACGTCTGGAGAATACGGCGGGTGGGGTAGGACTCCCCATTTCAATGTTCCCAAGTATGTCTTGACTACTTTCGCAACATGGGGTCGAGCATTGTCATGCTGCAAAATCACTTTATCGTGTCTCTCGTTGTATTGCGGTCGTTTGTCTTTCAATGCTCGGCTCAAACGCATCAATTGCGTTCGATACCGATCGTCTGTGATTGTTTCAGTCGGTTTTAACAGCTCATAATACACTACGCCGAGCTGGTCCCACCAAATACAGAGCATGACCTTGGAGCCGTGAATATTCGGTTTGGTCGTCGACGCCAAACAGTGGAAGCATGGCCGAGAACTCCCCATGATTTTCTGCGCTTGGGGTTATCGTAATGAACCCATTTTTCGTCCCGTCACAATGCGATGCAGAAATCCCTTCCGTCTTTGCCTTTCAAGCAGCTGTTTACAAGCAAACAAACGCCATTCAACATCTCTCGGCTTCAATTCGTACGGCACCCAATTTTCTTGTTTCTGAATCATTCCCATGGCTTTGAGGCGTTTTGAAATGGCTTGTTGAGTCACTCCCAATGATCGTGTCAATTCTTCTTGATTTTGACGAGTCTTGATCAAGTAATGCCTCCAATTCTGCATCTTCGAAAACCTTCTCTCTTCCACCGCTATGCCGGTCTTCGACGTCAAAATCACCGTTCTTGAAGCGTTGAAACCATTCACGACACGTTCTTTCACTAATAGCCTCACCATAAGTATTTGAGAGCATTCGATGAGCCTCAGCCGCAGATTTCTCCATATTGAAGTAGAAAATTAAAACCGCAAATGATGAGAATTTGGCTTGTAAACTGACATTTTCAATCGAAAATAACTTTATGATGCAGACACAAATCGACTAATGTTTCTATGGAGTTATGTTGACAGATGCCCACGTTTATTGTATGACGTCTATGATCTATTTATTTCGACCACCACTTACCGCTAAAGCCATCTATAGGAAAACGGCGGAAGCAAAGTTGTACACTTAATATAAAACATCTACTCAACACGCACAGAACAATTGCTACGTCGATTTGGAGATATCTTTTGTGAGTGAAATGAATGGAGAAGATGAAGCTTTCGTAAATATAGAAAAAAATTATTTAATATTTTAGTAATAGTAGTATACTTCGATGAAACGAACACAGTATGTTAACTCTTACCTTGTAGAAAAATACTACTGGCAGTGATAAATTATTGTCAATCAATAATTTATCAATAGCCAATTTATTTATCACAGTCAATAATTATCATATTTTCCTATAAAGGTTAACATTACTGCAAACGTTATAAGAATTTCAAATATTCCATTAAGGTATGTACCGTCAGTGTATACTGTCATTATTTTTATTATTTATAAATTCATGTAATTATAACATGTACTTATACATTAAAAATAATGACAGTATATACTTTAATGAAATATTTGAAATGTTTATAACCGTTAGTAATGTTAACTTTTACAGAAAAATATATTATCACTGACTGTGATAAATAAATTGGTTACTGATAAATTGTTGATTGATCATAATTTATCACTGCCAGTAATATTTTTTTACAAAGCAGAATAAGAGTTAACACTGCGCTTGTTTGATTGAAGTATTTTACTGTACCAAAACCAAATATTATATAATTTCTTCTATATATTATGAAAATTTCGTCGTTTCCTCGTTTCATTTCGTTTATACTACGTATTCATCACTGTAGACTCGAATGATCGTAATCCTCGCACAGGAAAGAGAAAACTGATCATTAACGCTGACGACAGAACAAACATAACCTTTACGTGTCAATATAGACAACTCTCTCTCTTTCTCTCTTTCTTTCTCTTAATCTCTCTCTTTTTCTATCACATGAGCGCTTGCGACGATAACGAAATCACCTCTGCCGTGCTGCCATCTAGCGGAAGAAATTGAAGGAGCACATTTTTAGAGCCATCGGTATTCATCGTGAAATCTGACGATTTTGGATTTTCAGCTAGAATTTCTCATCTCACAGGACATATAGAGCAAAAGTAAAGACAGTTTTATTAAGGAATGTTGATCCAAGGAATCGATTAAGACTACTTAGGACCATATCGATATAGCCGTAATAGCTGAATCCCGTCCCCTTCCAACTAGTTCTTTTGCGTAAGATAATCACGGCCGCTCAGTCTTTGCGGTTGCGATTGCGCACAAATTAGACGCTCAAATCACGGCCGTGATTTTTGATAGTTCAATGGTATGTGTACACTTTTAATATATTGCAAAAAATGGCGACCGCTTAGTATGTTAGAAAAGCGTAAACCGCTGATGTCGTTCAGCAGAAAATTTTACAACAGTTGCAAAGCTGCTTGCAATGCAAAGCACTAAGTTACTTTTTTTGCTGAACATAACATTGTTTTTTAACCCTCCATTCACGAACGTTAGTGCTCTTGTATGAACGAAATGTCGCGCCTGTTATTAATTAAATTTAAATAAAAGTTTAATTATTGCTGCATTAATACGGCTTTATAAAAATGAGTAGATGAATTAAAATATTGACTTATATTATTGATTTATCAGAGGAAAGCTTAAATTTGATAACAGTTGCACTAGTTGCATTTGGTACTAGTTGCATTAATCTCACATATTTACTCTCGCTATGAATGCGCGCTAACACTTTCCAGAATTTATTAATAAAAATTATACTAACGAAATTAAGAAAACGGCTATACAAATATTATCTAAAAGGTTGTAAACGAAAAACCAGAAAGTTTTAAAGCCAACTGTGAAGCTACCTTTATATAATTAGAAAGTAAAATTTCCACTGAGCAAACTCGCCTTATACGGAAACGATGGAAGATTGATGTATTAGCAAAAGTTACACTAACTAAATTAAGAAAACTTTCATACAAATATGATCTAAAAGATTTTTTAAATAAAGGAAAGTTTCAAAGCAAGCCATCTTTATATAATTAGAAAATGAAATTTTAACTGAACATTTACCTCATATGAGTAAGGTGGCCAGACGTTCTGATTGTTCACTCTTTGTCCCAAATTTTTTCGAGTGCTATTCGAGACATCGATTTGTCATCATTTTCAATGATTGTCAAATTTCCGGATCTTTTAACCCCCTTTCCCCCGCCCCCCGCTTCACACATTTATGAAGTGTCCCGAATTCAGGGCTGGGAAATCTGGTCACCTTACATATGAGGGCAATGAAGGATTAATTAAAGTACTCTATATATTTTTTTCAATAGTAGGAAGTGATAGCGTAACGGCAAGTCTGTAACTTTAAAATTAATTTTCAATGTATATGTAGGAATAATAAATTTGATATTATAGTAATTAATTAGCACAATTAATTATGCGATAGATTAGTATTAAATTTTTAGTGATAAGAATAATATAAGAATATCTTCAATAAGAATATCAGTAAGAATCAGAAAAAAAATTAGTGAAACGTTTTTATATTATCGTTTAAAATTATTAAGTAGTTTCTGTAATTTTGGACCATGGACAAAATTACAGAACTAAATTACAATGACTAAATTAAAAAATTAAAATTTATTATTTTATTTAATAATAAAAATAACATAAGATAATAAATTATATAATAATATAAAGTAAAAATTAAAATTACTAATTTGTATATGACGTATATGACATAACATATATAACGTATAATAATAGTAAATCATATATGGATAAATTATGCACACTTTATATGCGATACAGTGATGATAGCACTATTTTATTGTTGACGCTAAAGTTCGTATATATGTGTATATGTGTGTCAATCGATGTTTTCAGTGGCCGAATTTTGTTACACACAACTGTACTATTTTCTAATTTTTATTTCTGCCAAAGATATCTAGCAACGTATGTCAATGTGCATGGTATAGTGCATGGCCATGTTCTTTTATGTTTTTATGTAAAAGCCGCGAAAATGAGGGTCGCCGTAGGAGAATTAGGAGACGAGAGGGTGACGAGATGGGTGGAGGGGGGGATAACGAAGATTCTATCGCTGAGGAGGACGGGTACGGAGCATTTTGCAGTCACGCACAAAGTGAGGAGATCTACCAGGACCTTTGTAGCCTGCATTTGCCACCTCCTCCGTCCGTTGCGCAGGTCATCATCTTCTCATCTTTATTTGGTTATTAACCAAATAACAAACTTTTAATCACAATCATGTGTACAATATATTCCCGAGATTATTATTTTTTCTTATATTAGAAACTTAAAAATTCTCATAATAAAAAAATAGACTGGTCAAAGACATGTTTCTATATCGAAAGATCGAAAAGCTGCATGAATTTGTTAAGTGTATTGAATTCTTCGTTGAAAAAAAAGAAAAAAGTTCGAGCAAATCCATTCTTTTTATTTCTTGTACACATTTCAATGAACGGTTGATTTCCTTATGCACCATGCAGTATGCTTTACACATTGCAAATCAAACTATAGTTCATGAGGAACTTTCTTCACTGAGCTAATCTTTTGTGCGACAGGGAGGTACTATCACTGGAGGTGAGAAAAGAGATTACGTGATCCAGGAACTTGTAGAAACCGAGCGGAACTACTCGGAAGTACTGAGCAGTTTACTCAGGCATTTCGCCAGGCCACTGTCATCGTTGTTGCGACCCGAGGACTCCGTCCGCATTTTCTTCGGCATTAAGGAACTCTCAGAGATCCACGTTGGCTTCCACAGTCAGTTGCGTAAGGCGCGTAGCGGCGCCGCGTTAGCCCAAGTATTCCTAGACTGGCGGGAGAAGTTCCTTATTTATGGCGATTATTGTACCAATCTTACTCTCGCACAAAACACGTTGCAGGAGGTTTGCGCTAACGAAATAGTCAATCAGGAAGTTATCGTGAGTTTCGTAATAATAAGAAAGCAAAGATTGTAAAAAATCTTCTTTTCTCTGTGTGTTTAAAACTAAAGAATTATATTTTAAGAAGAAACTAATTTATTTGGATATTTTTTAAAAACACATTAACGTTGTATATTTTAGAGGTGCCAACAAGAAGCTAACAACGGTAAATTTAAACTGCGCGATATATTGTCCGTGCCAATGCAAAGAGTACTCAAATATCACTTATTATTGGACAAACTTGTTGAAGAAACACCTCGTGAATGGGTCGAGGATTACCGACAATTGACGAAAGCGAGGGAAGTAATGGTTGACGTCGCTCAATATATAAACGAGGTAAAACGAGATTCCGATACATTGGACATCATAAAAGACATTCAAGCATCGATAATTGACTGGGATGTTCCCGAGGACACACAGCTCAAGGATTTTGGTCGTTTACTTCGGGATGGCGAGCTCAAGGTTTGTGTAACGTGGTCGTAATCGAAAAGCACGTTAAGAACATAAAATTCAATTAATCGCCTTGCTTAAATTGGTTTAAACTATGAGTGTTTATTGTAGTACTAATAATTTTTACATACTTTCATATACTACATATCACATCCTAAAAACAATTTTAAATCGATACTAATTCAGCTCTTTTGCAGGTAAAAGCTCATGGCGATCAACGGATTAAAGCTCGCTATGCGTTTATTTTCGAGCAAGTAGTATTAATTTGCAAGGCTGGCAGAGGAGATCAATACTGTTATCGGGAAACTTTGCGATTAGATGATTATAGACTGGAAGATCATATAGGCCGACGGACACTGGGCAGAGATTCGCGTTGGTCCTATCAATGGCTACTTGTACATAAACAAGCGTATACAGCATATACTCTATATGCAAGAACAGAAGAGCAGAAGCAGGTATGGATAAAAGCGTTGCAAGACGCAATGGATAATGTCAACCCCGCTGCTTGTCGCAACACCAATCACAAATTCAAGTTGACAACATTCGATATACCTAGAAGTTGTCAACGCTGTGGAAGATTTCTCAAGGGCCGTATATTCCAGGTAAAATAAAATAAGATACGCCAAATGTACACGTTACTTCATTTGAGTACAACCATTATATAATAATTAGTTAATTAGTTATAAATTAGTTAATTAGTTATAAAAAAATTAATTTTAAATAGAAAATTACAATTATAAATTAGTTTTATTTAAAAAAAGCATTAAATTTTTAATTTATATATTTTTTTATATAAGTTAACATAATTTATTAATAACAAAATCAGTGCCAGCTGTTTGCAATGATGAATAAAAAACGTCATAAATAATGTCAGCAGAATTCTTTCTCGTCTTTTTGAATATTATTTTTTTTTTCTGAAATTATAGGCAAAACAGTCGGTATTTCTTTAAAATATTACTTTTCTATTATTTCACAAAAATTTAATCTACAGTTAAAAAGTCAATTATGCAAACACACGCGTAGGTATGTATGATCACGTTTTTTATTTGGAGATATTCCAGGCTTGCAATAGTTGCTGACTCACCATCTGTTTGTGGGTGTATGCATTATTATATATAATTAAATTTTAGCTTTAATAAGTTAATTTTATAGGTCATTAACTTCAAATTTAATTTATAAGAGGATCACCAGATGACTGCTCCGGAGATTTTGATGCGCTTTTTACAGGCTGTTCTTGGGCGAAAAAACGACACGTGTTCGGCCCTTTCAGCCAATAGGCCATAGTTTTGAAAAAATTGATTTTTAAAAATGACTCTAGTCGGCCGCGACACACTTGATACGTTCGACTGTCACTATTGAACAGCAGGAGCGATAGTGCAGTAGGTAAGACATTGGCTTTGTATGCGGTAGGTTGCGTGTTCAAATCTTGCTTCGTGCATTTTTTGTAATTAAAAATTTGTTCTTATCTATAATTATTCATATTATTGTAAATATACACGAAAAAGATTATTTAATTATATTGATATATATTTTTTGCAGATGAAATTTAAAAATTTTTAAATAATTATTGTAATAATTTGAAAAATCTGAATAAAGAAATATTATTTTTATAAATTTTATTTTAATTTAATGTTATTAATTTTTATTACTTTTTGATTCTAGTAAAATTTTATAAATTTACAAATTAGTAAATAATTAAATATTCATGTATGAAATAATTATTATTACCGTCGTTGTCGTCGTCGTTGTTGTTATTCATATGGATATAAATAAAAATGTAATAAAAACGTGAGTGATCACGAGCTACATGACGAAAAATTTTCTAATAATTTCCTCAAATAATATAGAATCGTTAAAGAGTGACATGTCAGCACAAGCTTTACAACCTTTGTTTATCATTACGTAATTGATAAGGAAAAAAGAAAAATAAGACAACAAATAAGAGAACAAATTATCTACTATAGATAAGAACAAATTTTTAATAAAAAAAAATGCACGAGGCGAGATTAGAACACGCAACCGTGTACGAAGACAACGTCTTACTTACTGCGCTACCGCTGCTGTTGTTCAATAGTGACGATCGAACGTATCAAGTGTGCCGCGACCGAGAGTCATTTTTAAAAATCGATTTCTTCGAAACTATGGCCTATTGGCTGAAACGGCCGGATACATGTGGTTTTTTTCGCCCAAGAACAGCCTGTAAAAAGCGCATCAAAATCCCCGGAGCAATCACTTGGTGTTCCCCTTGTAAATTACGTTAAAGCTATTTAACTTTTTAACTTAACTTTTAACTTTTTAACTAGTTACTACCCTGCTTTTTTAAATTAATTTAACTTTTAATTCAATTAATTTCATTATCGGTTAACTTTATCGTAACTATATTTAACTCTCGTTAAATTTTCAAAGCCATTAACTTTAACTTAACTTAGTTAAAAAAAAAAGTTAACTTGGTTATACGACCCTGGTTATACGACATAAGAAAATTAGGAATTATTTTTTTTTTTTATGATAGCTACGCAGAAAACTTTTAAGCGGATATTTTTATATTATATCAAGGTTTGTGCAACGTTGATTTAAGATGCAACGTTACTGCAAAATACTGAAAAGAAGTTTTATATTTACTTTTTTTTATAAAAGAAGTTTTATATATTCTTTTAAATGATGCATTGAAATTTCTCGAAAATCAAGTATTTCATCGAAAAATATTTCAAACAATTTGTATAGTCTGATAATGCTATTCACTTTGACTTTGTTAAAATCATGTCAAGTTTACATTTAATTTTTTTATGTAGAATCATATGATTTCTTTAAAATAAATCAATTTCTTTAGTTATTCTGCATATTGAGAGGAAATAATAGAAATGTGAATATTTTTCGAAATATTTTACATTATATCCTAATATTTTTCAGTACAAAATATGAAATATCTTATTAACTATTATATTAAACTATTATATTAACTGTTCAACATTATTTTAATATTTTTATATGTTGAATAACGAAGAAAATCGATCAGTATTCTTGATCTTTGCATGCTAGTGTTTCAATAAATCTGTAAAATCCAATCTTAGCATAGAAAATTACCAACAGTTGTAAAAAAAACTTTCTGACGCTAAACGCGGCCAATGTTTGACAATATTTGACAATATTAAATTTTAACGTCTACAAGACATTGCAATTCAGCAGACCTTGGACGTTTCTACAATGTCTTTTCAGTGTTATTTTCAGTGTAAATTTATATTTCAAAATGTTGGTGCAACGCAACGCAACGTTTAACTGAAATATTGATTCAACGTTTGTGTGCTGTATGGGATATGATTCAAATCTGATTATTACGCTTCCTATATATGTTATATAAGAAGCGTGATAATCAGATCTGTATCGTACTGTATGTACTAATTCTTATATAATAATTGATGTACTTATATGGTAAATGTGTGATTAAAATCGTTTTGGCTTATTAAAGAATATATAAAAATCGTAAAAAGATGAATAGAGAAAGATGACATATGGGTATGTCACTATACCACAAAAGGTTAAAACATTTCAAATAAAACGCCTGAAATAAAATATTTATAAGATGTCTTTAAGTAATATATTAAAAATGTCTTATTTAAGATGTCTTTCTTAGACACGCATGTTGTCTGAGTTTTCCTTGAAGCAAGTAATTTTATACTGTTAAAATTGACAAAACACTATTACATTAAATTTATATGCAGGAAAATTTTTTAAGCTATTAATATTAACTATTGATCAATTTTTACTCAAGAATGAAAAATAGATATTTATGGATAAATCTATATAATTATATTAATTTTCAGAAATTAATTGAATAAAAAGTTGTTTTCTCTCTTATACAGGGCTACAAATGTGAGACATGTTGTCTAGCTGTACACAAGCAATGTATTACGCATTCGGGTCGCTGTATGCCAGCACCGCCATCACCAACACCACCTCCACCTTTACCTTATGAACGTGCTCTGTCTGTGAAGCTGTGGTTTGTCGGAGAGATGGGCAGGGATGCAGCTTCTAACAAATTAGAATGCCGCGAAGATGGAACATACATGCTACGCGTTCGTCCGGCGGGGCAGCCACGTCTTCAGCATGAAACCAATTATGCTCTTAGTATTAAGTAAGTTCTAAAATCGCGGAATGAAAGAATTATGTCATTCTTATAATACATATGATTTTTTATTATTAAATTATGTCGTATCACAACCTAATAAATATATTACATTCTAGAGCGGAGGGAGCGGTGAAACATATTCGTGTATTTAAGCGCGACGTGGATGGCGCGGATCTTTATTATCTCAGCGAATCTCGTTTCTTCAAAACTGTTGTCGAACTTGTTGAGTACTATGAGCGTCAGTCACTATCGGAAAATTTCGAGAAGCTGGACCAACGTCTACTGTGGCCGTATCGACGAATTTTGGCTAAAGCATTATTTGACTTTCACGGCTGCGAACGTAATCAATTAAGCCTGCGACGTGGTTGCCGGGTCGTAGTACTAAGCAAGGAAGGCGATGCCAAAGGTTGGTGGAAGGGTAAAATAGGAGATCAAGTTGGATTCTTTCCAAAAGAGTATGTTGAGGAGGAATAGAATTGTTAATGTCGAACTGTTACGTCTTGTTGCGTACGATGTGTCGAGTTTCGAAAATAAATCGTAAATATGATAAGCAACCTCACAAAGTACAGTCTTATAACTAGTCCATTACCGAGAGTAATAGGTCATAATCTAAACTCGCTCGTCTGCTAACAAGTGCTTTGATGAATAGGTCAATTAAAAGAGCAAAATGAGGGTTAAAACTAAAGCAATGAGTATTTTAAACGAAAGCAGCACACAAAGAACAATTTTTTTTTTACAATATATGAACGACGTCTGTAAGTGCTTAAAGAAAATGCTCACTATGTACGAATGGCACCTGCAGGCGCTCGACAATAATCGCTGGAAATTTCTCTTTCAATAATTTAAATATTTTATGTTAAATATTCTATTTATATATTATTGTTATCTACATAAATATAAAATATTGAACGCAAAAGTGATTTGGTTGATTTGATACAATCCATAAGTAACATTGTAATATGTAACAATGTTCCCTATGCAATGACAACTATTGCTGTAACTCGGCTGTATGCAGCTAGTGGCTTGCTTCCGAGTAACCCTGCAGTCAAAATGTTAATTATCTACATATAATCTAAATAAGTTTGTGAAAACTTCTTCAGAAAATATAAAAACAGCTGTATCTACCCGCATATATTTTGCTTTTCTTCAGAAATTATCCGAGAATCGTCAATACAAAACCGACATTTCGTACCTCGTATGTAACAACTTAAACCTCTGCCGCGAAACTTTTGATTGGTGACTGATATATCTTTTTAGTTGTACGTATATTACAGAGATTTTGAGCATATACTTTTAATATTATCAATCAAGAGTTCCATGGCGAGAGACTATATTCATGACCGCTCGAAACGCGCGATGCTGTGGCAATTATCATATATGGTGCAATTATATTAATTCTATTTACGCATACCTCAATAGGAAGAGATAAAAGGACGAATTTAATCGCGAAACATTTTTGCATTGTATAAGAAAAGGACGCATGTAGTTATAAATACACGTGATTCAAACGTTGTGTGCGTGTAACTTTTAAGTTACTGTTCACTTATGTTTCACGAGGTCCAAACGCATCACACATATAATGTGTAAATCACATTAATATCCGGATACTATAATAGTTGAAAAATCTTTATTCCATATATTTATTTATTGTTAAGGAAAAATAGCTATACAGAAATATTATTTCTTAAGTACCATATAGTATCCAAATATTAATGCGAGTCATTGCACATACAATGATGTATAGTGTATGTTTCGTGCTTAGACAAATATATATACTTTTAACTACGTGTATAGAATTATAAAAAATGATTATTTTTTATTATGATACAGCATTCCTGATTGTAGTCAGGCGATAATGTCATAAAGATTAAAGTTATTTATATACGTTCGGAAGTTTAAAAACGTTTTAAAATGAATGTGTTATACATAGATTGAGCCTGAAGTCTTGGCACAAAATTTACAAATATATTTTACACCTTAAGGCTCTTGATCAATCAGCCGAAAACTTGACGATGGCGTTGACATGATTGAAAATGGCAAAAAATGAATTATTAGACGGGAAAATAGGTTTGTTCGTTTCTGAAGAACTTCTGCACTAGTGCAAACTATTGCAATAAGAGAATTAGAGAGTGAAAGAAAGTATATTTGTCTTTCTCTAACATATTACACTAGTGCAAAAGTTCATCAAAAACGAAGATCTAATGATGTAAACAGACGATTTTTTCCTGCAAACCACAGCGTTATTACTGAATATAGTGCGTGTATATATCACATGTGATGCAATTGTGGAAGTATGGAAATACTCCGGATGCTATGCTTATTGTGATATTTAATGCATATAAGTAGTTATGCAGTTATATTCGGCACGGACTCATATAGCTGATTTTCTGTCAAAACGATCCCAGCAAACACAGAATATAACTATTATATAACATAGAAATAACACGTAATATAACGGATGTTATACTTTATTAATGTTAAAGTTACATAATTTTCTTTTATAACTGCAATCTAATTGTGTTTTAGAACTGTTATAATTTTCTGTTATTTACAGGTTATAATTGTATAATACCAACATAACTAAAATATAACAGGTTATATAACAGGTGTTAATTTGCATTACATCTATGTTATATAGCATTCTTATATTTAGGTATCGGATTATTCGCTAGATAGCTTCCGTTTTCTGGCGTCTTTCTCGTACGTAAAATATGATGCATTAATATATATATATATATATATATATATAT